AGGTATATCATAAATACAGCTGGAATCGTATTTAATTTCCAGCCTTAAGAATATATGCTACTGCATGTATGGCTTTTTCTAATCTGAGGAATTTGTGTGATTATGAATTCTTCTAGGTGTCACTTAAATTGAGCTTATTTCTCTGAGAAGCAGTGGATTTTTTTTTTTTTTTGTATTCCCCATGACAAGAAACTTAAAGAATACATCATTCTGCCAAGTCTGATTTATATGTGGACAAATCATTTAGCATGAGAAAAGCCATGTATTAGCAATGAATTGCAACTCTGAGGGTAATCACCTCCATTCTCCTCATTGTGGTGGAGGATAGGTTTTTCACACCTCGTTCTGAAGATTTTACTTTACAGAGTATTTTTCAGTCCCTAAATAAGAAGGCTGTGTGTGATACTATGTGGAACTCGATGGCCTTGACCCTGAAAGGTGCAAGTTGTTTCTCATCTTCCCTGGAACTCCCTGCAAGGATGTAACGTTGTTGAATTGATTTCCAGGCTCTTCAGTAGAAGCCAGTGTCCCACAAATATACCATGAAGCCTGGGTTTCAAATTTTGCTGCAGATTTCTTCCTAGGAGTGAGTGGAGGGAACCTTGTCAAAGACAAACTATTATTCTTATCCTTGCTACTGTCCTTCCAGTATTTTTTCCCCTATACAGATTGTTGAAAATTCCTTGTCTTCATTAAGTTAACGTTTGTGCCCTTATTTGCTTAACCAATATTTACTGCTTGACGGCCGCCGACACAATTAGTTCCATGGTTCCCTCTGCTAGGAAATAAAACAAAGAGAAGGAGACAGCCAGCCTTTTAAAATAAAATAGAAGTGGGAGAGAGGATGGTCATTTAATTGTTGGCTATTGGGTCTTGCTTGTGGAAATGAAGCTGACAGTTCTTGTAAACAAACGTACAGCCAGAGGAATAAAGGGCATTGTGAACTGGATTTTTGGGCATAGAGCTTGAATCTCACCCAAAAACAGAGTCCCTCACTGTGATCTCTTAAAAAGAATATTGCTTCACCAACCGTCCTTGATTTCTGTAGTTTTAATAAATCAGAGTTGTCTTCTGTTTCTGATACATGATTCTGCTTGTTTTCTCATTTCTTAGTAAGAGTGCATTTGAAAATAGATGTGGCTTTCCATTCTTTGTTTTAAATGTAGTCATTAACCCCTCTGTGTTGCTGTCCCTTTGATTGCCAAGAAAATAATTAATTTTATTTCCCGTGTCAACAGAAAATTATTTTCTCTTGCCTTACCATTTCTTTGTAGCTTTCAAATGAGCAATCTGTTCTGAAAATCCTGAAGTGCATTTCAGCATTTTTTTTCCTGTAGTACTTTGCCAGCATCTATAAGCAACACTAAAATCACCATCGTTAGGGTAGGTTTTTACAACAAATCAAAATGCAAGTAGAAAGAATATCTCATGCCAAGCACAGCAGGGCTTTTACTAAGTACGAACTGTTTCAAACGTAGATTAGTTAAAAAATATGCTTTGCACTGGAAAAAAAGCATTTTCTAAAAAAAAATAGGATGTAACTGTTTTCAATTATGAATAAGAAGTTTTTTCTTACTGTTTAACTTTCTGTGTTAGAGTTCAAGTCTTGTAGGACAGGTACATCAGATTGCTTTTTCAGATTCTCCATGGACATGCCCTCCAATCATACCCAGCCTTGAACATGCCTTGTTTGTTATTTCACATTGATGTGACATAAATAAACTCTTTAAATTTAAGTTCTTTGGTATTTTCTTTGGGTTTAATGAAAATCCATGATATAACGAAATATATTTCTAAACATTATATTTATTTATTTGAGAGAGGGAAAGAGAGAAAGAGCACGTGAAAGTGAGCACTCCCCTCTGATGATTCACTACCCAAATGCCTGCAAAGACTGAGGCTGAAACAGTTTGAAGTCAGGAGCTAGGAATTTTATCTAGGACTTCCACGTGGGTGGCAGGAACTCCACCACTTGAGCAATCATAGCTGTCTCCTGGGATCTGGGTTAGCAGGAAACCAACTGGGAGTGGAGCCAGGGCCTCAAACCCAGGCAGTGCTATGGAAGCATCTCAACTGGAATTTTAACTACTAGGACAAAAAGCCCCTAAACATTTTTTATTTAGTGTTTCTGGCCGGCACCACGGCTCACTTGGCTAATCCTCCACCTGCAGCGCCAGCACCCCGGGTTCTAGTTCCAGTTGGGGCGCCAGATTCTGTCCCAGTTGCTCCTCTTCCAGTCCAGCTCTCTGCTGTGGCCCAGGAGTGCAGTGGAGGATGGCCCAGGTCCTTGGGCCCTGCACCCGCACGGGAGACCAGGATGAAGCACCTGGCTCCTGGCTTCGGATCGGTGCAGCGTGCTGGCCGCAGCGGCCATTTGGAGGTGAACCACTGGAAAAAAGGAAGACCTTTCTCTCTGTATCTCTCTCTCACTGTCTAAAAAGAAAAGAAAAGAAAAAGAAACAAAACGAAAATAGTGTTCCCATCATAGTCTTTGCAGGACATTTGTGTGTGTGTATTTGAAAGGCAGAGCGGGGCGGGGGGGTTGGGGAGGGGAGAGAGAGAAAGAGAAGGAGGTATCTCCCCAATTCACTTCCCAAATTTCTGCAATGGCTAAACCTGGGCCAGGCCAAAGTCTGGAGCCCAAAACTCTAGCTGGATTTCTCACATGTTGGCAGGCACCTAAGTACCTGAGCAGGAAGCTGGATCATAGGCAGAGGCAGGACTTGTTCCTAGCAACTCCCATGAGGGATGTGACCATCCCGAGTCGGGGCTTTATTCACTGTGCCACAACTCCTGCCCTTCACAGGAGCTTTTTAGACACCTCTTTCCGACAGATGTCATTCAGTGGCATAAGGATCTCACATTGGAATGGAAGTCTCAAGGCTTCATTTCTCACCTTGATTTTGCCCTCATCGCCTCTGTGACTTTGGGTCACTTTCCCGGCCTTCATCTCTCCTGTAAAATGAAGAAGTTGATGTACGCCTATCTGTACGGTCCCTTCTGCCCTTGGAGTTCTTCTGAGTCAGTGTGTTACTGATGTTCTGTTCACATTGTGCTCATCTACTGCCGTGCTTTGTTGGTTGATATCTCAGTGTGTGTTTTCAAAGGCAAACTACTTTGGTCAGAGGCTCAGTGTCAGTCATCCTGTCCTTTTAAAAGTTTTGCTTCTTCTTCAGGGGCCGGCACCATGGTGCAGTAGGTTAATCCTCCGCCTGGGGTGCCAACATCCCATACGTGTGCTGGTTCTAGTCCCTTCCATTCTGGCTCTTTGCTGTGGCCTGGGGAAGCAGTAGAAGATGGCCTACGTCCTTGGGCCCCTGCACCCGCATGGGAGACTGGGAAGAAGCACCTGGCCTCTGGCTTTGGATCAGTGCAGCTCGAGCTGTTGTGGCCATCTGGGGAGTGAACCAACAGTTGAATGATTGTCTCTTTGTCTCTCCCTGTTACTTTACCTCTCAAATAAATAAATAAAATCTTGAAAAAAAAAAAGAGAAAGTTTTGCTTCTTCAACCACATAGACATTTGGAAAGCACCTCCTATAGATTACATCTTCTTTGGCAAAGTATTAAGCCTTTTTACAGTAATGTAAATTTAAATATGCTATCTCAAAAACAAAAAGGAAAGAAAGTGAGAAGAGAGGGGGAGGGAGAGAGGAGGAAGGGAATAGCACTATATTCTTAGAATTATATCTGCAAAACACATTGAGTCGGTTAAAAACTAATTAAATTCTTTTAAAAATAAAATATAAAACAAAATAAGAAGTGACATACCCAAAAAGACAAAAAATCTATTTTTAATTGTAATAGCAAATATTGACCTAGTGCTATTATATATTAAGTGCTATTTGAATATATTTCATCTGCACACTAGTGTAGTCTCACATCTATCAGTTAGCTATTGCTGCATAAGAAAACACCCTAAAATGTAGTGGCTTCAAAATAAAAAGAACAAAAGAAAGCTGATTGAAGCCTCCACACGAGTGCCTTCCTACAATCTCACAAGTTTCGTACATGCCACAAGGTAAGTTAGCAATAGTCTGATCCTGCCTACAATCTCACGAGTTTCATTCAAGCCACAAAGTGTGTTAGCAATAGTCTGATTATGTTTCGTTTTGCTCAAGTAGGTTGAGCAGGGTCCTGGGAAGGCAAGCATGATGTCAGGTTCTGAAAAAGTGCATGGTGGCAATAGAAGGGTACTTGCTTTGTGGACAGGTTTTAGCTCGCTGGTGCCTCTAGTCTAGTGTGCTTCCTTAGGCTCCCCATTCCCCCTGCCTTGGCTCAGTCAGTAGTCAGTTGCTTCTGTGTATGTCTTAGGCAATTGTGAAGTCTCCCCCATTGACTTTGTAAGTGTAGTTACTACTGGTCTCTAACAAGTAGAAGTGAAAAATGGTCCTGATCCCAGATGGCTCACGTGTGTTGTGTTCTTCCAAAGTATTTTGTTTCTTTCTTTCTTTTTTTTTTTTTTTTTTTTTTTTTGACAGGCAGAGTGGACAGTGAGAGAGAGAGACAGAGAGAAAGGTCTTCCTTTGCCGTTGGTTCACCCTCCAATGGCCGCCGCGGCCGGCGCACTGCGCTGATCCAATGGCAGGAGCCAGGTACTTCTCCTGGTCTCCCATGGGGTGCAGGGCCCAAGTACTTGGGCCATCCTCCACTGCACTTCCCTGGCCACAGCAGAGAGCTGGCCTGGAAGAGGGGCAACTGGGACAGAATCCGGTGCCCCGACCAGGACTAGAACCCGGTGTGCTGGCGCCGCAAGGTGGAGGATTAGCCTAGTGAGCCGCGGCGCCAGCAAGTATTTTGTTCTACACGGGCACAGCCGTGCATTTTACGGACACACTATTTTTGCAAAGAAGGCCAATGTGGGAGTCGGGAATCTAGAGGGTGTGTTGTGGCTTGGGTGACCCCTTGGGTAGTTTGTACACTGTGTGCTCCAGTAGCAGCCCCTGTGGTCACTGTGCACCCTGGACTAGTGAAGAGTTGTATGGGCCTGTTTCCGTCCAGGTGAGAAGAGTTCCCGGGTCGAGTGGCCATCTTCACAAAACTGAGGACGGTGACTGGGAGTGGAGTGACGACGAGATGGATGAAAAAAGCGAAGAAGGGAAAGCCGCTGTTTCTCAGGAAAAGGTAACCGGCCCGGGTGACCCGCGTAAGGTTTATTTCTCTGGGTTCTTTTCTGGGTGTATAGTAACAGACCTGTAATTGTTTTTACAGTCACGAAGAGTAAAAGAAGAAAATCCAGAGGTGAGTAGTGGTTGTTTTTCTTTCTATCTTACCCCTTTGTGGGAGAGACTTCAGCATCTCAGGAAGAATTTTTCAAAGACAGGAAAGGCTCGTAGACTTTGCAGGTCTGCAAAAGTGTGCATGAATCAGGGCAAATGTTCTCCGAGCCTCAGTCTCCCCCTCTGCCAGCTGCTCACAGAACGTTTAAAGTTCATGTGAGGATTGATGAAATCATATACAGCAAGCATGCATGGGGTGTCCTTGCACACACTAGGTAACCAATTAATTTTAACTGTTAGTGTCACTGTCTTTAAAAAATGTAGTAAGCACACAGGCAAAATTCCTTCTGTGTTTTTAGTTTACAGTATTTCAGACATTAAAATGGTTAGAAACTCTAGGTTGAATCTATTGTTCTTGATTTTTAAATTTCCTGGGTAACATAGTAGGCAAGTGAGAACTGGTCATCTTTTGATTAAGAGATCATTTTTTATTTACGTCCCCCATCTGATGAATTATCCTAATGCCTAATGACTAATGATGACTGTGGTTCTTAGGATGTGCTCATTTTCCTAGAGGAAATTTAAACTTATTTAAATAGCTCCAAGTATTTTATAGACCTAGTAATTAATGTGTAACTTGATAAATTCTCATTAAGAACACAGAAAACTTTGGGTTACAAATGATATCCATCCCAACTTTTTGAGATTAGCGGACATTTCCATTTGATTGCATGGAGTAGCTGTCATTCAGTTTTAAGTGGCAGCAGCCAGCCACAGGCCGCTCTTGCCGGTTCTTCCTTCCCCACCTCATTCTCTCTTCTATCCTGCACTAGAGACGTTTCAGCTGCTGCCAAGTGGTTCCTCTCCCTCAGACCCTGTTCCCTCTTACGTCAGCTGTGAGGTCATCTTTCCATTTGATCAGTGGCACTGTTCCCATCTCTCAGAGCAATGGTGATGAGTCCCGAGGTGGGACGTGTTGGCCACACAGATCTTGTGCTAGGTTTCTAAAATGGTCTTCAACAGATGTCATGAACTCTGCCCTCTTCTTGGCGACGGTTCCATTTTTTTTTTCCTGGAATCTAGAGCCCGGATTTTTTTGTCTGTTTCTAAGGGTATCTAATGGAAAGTGTCAGTTCTGCTTAGAAGTAGAACAGAGTGACATGGTTCGTGTTACTGACATCATGCCTTAGGAAGCGCTTGTTATTGGTTCAGTGTAGGACGTACTCGCTGAATGATAGTCACTGCATCTTGCCTTGCCAGTGCAGACTGACAGGAATGGTAGATGTTTCCTCCTGAGGGTTTCCTAAGACAGTCTCTTCCTATGTGGAAGAGTGGGTTTGGAATTGCCCTGATAGCTGACTTGTTATCTCGATAATGGCAGTATCTTTTTGGCAAGAATATTTTCCGCAAAGACAGGACAGAAAATAACGTGGGACATGTTGTCACTTGATCCTTGAACATCACTGTCACCATTCCTGAGTGGGCTTTGAAAGTCATAGGCATTGCACTGCAACTTGACTCTAATTCTCAGGAGTATCTTATGTCTGCTCCCCTGTTAGTTTGTCATAAAAAAGACTGTAAGTAGGTTTCTTATCTTGTGAAAGGATACACGTGCTTGCACGTAAACACCACCTCCAGATGTTACGAATAACTTGCCCCACAAGCTGTCGCACAACCTCTGGGGCCAGTGTTCGATGACCTTTGCTGTGGACGTTGGCATTTCAGTATCTTGAGCTGTGTTGAGAAATACTATAATGATAGTCGCTGTGTCCTTTCAGCTTTTAATTAAAGTAGCCCTCTAATTTGCTGACCACCCCAGGCTGCTTTCTCTTAAGTGAAGCAATAAAATATTCTAGTTACCTATTACAAAGGGAATTAAAAGGTTTAAATATGTAAACATTCAGCCAATGTATTTTATATGCCTACTGGGCACACTTGTTTTAGTAGGTGTGGGAGAGACATCAGTGACAAAAATAGAGCAAAATTGTGGTCCATTTGGAGCCTACATTCTAATGGGAGGAAATAAACAGTACACAATAGCCTTAATAAATAGGTAAATTATGTGGTGTGTTACAATGGAATGGGAGCAGTAGAGAAAAGTGGATTGTGGTTGTAGGTTGTGGGGAATTGGGTAGGAGGTGCTAATTTTATATGGGTTGGTTAGGATAGACCTTAGTGAGAAAGGAAATAGAGTAAAGATGTGGAAAAGCTCTGAGCAAACTAGATAGAATAAAACTGCAAAGACCAGTTTTATCTTACTCCCTGCCACCCCCCAACTGTTGCTCCTAGGCTTCATATCCGAGTCACGACACCATTATGTCGCTCCCCCATTCGTGGAGGAACGACACAGGACCCTGCGCTGTTCTTTTGTCTGCTCGGCCCTTCCCGGGTTTGCTGCTGGTCCTTCCCAGGTTGGCTGCTGACCCCTCCACCTCCGTGGAAGGGCGGCTCCCCCTGCCACTTTCCCCACTTCCGCGGAGAAGCGGCACACCGCCGGCCGGCTCTCTCGGGGGCTGCTCAGGTGTTCTCTTTAGATGTTCCTGGTGCATGTTGTCTCTCTCCTCCTTTATAGTCCTCTTCCACCAATCCCAACTCTGCTGCCCACATGCCGAGCATGCTGCTCTCCTCCAATCAGGAGCAGGATCAGCTCCTGCAGCTTATCAGTCAAACTGGCGAGAGGCAGCTGCATAGAGGTTGTTTGGGCTCTCTCTCAGCGCCATATTGTGGGAGAGCAGATGCATAGAGTAAGTCTTAATTCCAGTAACTTAGTCTAGTCTGAGTTGCTCCCCACACCCAACCTGTGGGTATCACTTCTTTCCACAGAAGTTATCAGTTTGTAGTGTTTGCTTCTCAATCCTTTCCTGTTCATTTTTATACAAATACAAGGAAATTTCAGGTAGCATCTTAAGGTCATGAATAGAATTATAAAAGCTAAAATGATTCTGCAGTTTGTCCTATTTTCTTGGAAATCTTTCCACCCTAGATATTGCAGATCTGCTTCTTTATTTTTAACTGCTACATAATATAATGGATGGGTGGAAATGGTTTATTTAACCATTTCCTTCCTGAAAATAATTTAGGTTGCTATTGCAGACATAATTCTGTTCACTTTTCTGTGTATGCAATTTTGAGAAGCACATCCATAAGTAAAGTGCAGATCGTTAGAACTGTGATTGCTCTGCTGAAGTATCTGCTGACTTAGAATTTCTTTGTTTCTATCAATAGGTATAACAAAGTATCCAGCCTATGACATTGCACCTTAGATCTTTAAACATCTTCAAGAGTGAAAATGCCTGTCTGTAACACGTGGCACATTTAAATGCTGGAATATTTACATTTTGATAAGCTTTTCAATGCTCCTTGTTATTTAATTTGAGTTCAGGTGTTTTTTCACTGTAAGCCACTGGAAGACAAGGATAGTATTTTATTCTTGTTGATACTCCTTTTGCATCTGGTAGAGACTCTGTCCGTGCTTGTTGGTGACACGGCTGCCCATGCCCATGTTCTAATATACACACATGAAACAGGCAGATGAGTAGGCATGTAGTAACGATGAGTAGGTCACAAATTAGCAGTGAAGGTCAGACGATGTTACAGAATGGAGTGAAGTTTGGAAATAGCCTTATTGGCCCCATGTCTAAGGTAAGATGCTACAGTAAACAAGGGGCATTTTAGGGACTTCTAGTTTGTTAGGGACTCATGGGAGGCATGAGGTGGCATTTTAAGGTATCACAGTCTTAATTGAGAATACTGAGAAGGCCAGGGTTGGGTATTTGTTGGAGGGATGTTGGGAAGATATGCCTCATCCTGTGCTGGAGTGAATTTTTAGTATTGACTCTAAGATTTGGAACTTAGACCACATATCTTGAGATTTCATGGACAGACATGTGGGAAAATTTGTCCTGTGCTCCTAACCTGATGCTTTAGAAAAATAGTCTTGCAGACTATTGGTTACTTCCTAGTAGTTAGCAATTTGTAACAGGTAGATGATTTATCCTGATTTCATATATTTATCATCTTTATTCCCCTTGGATGGTGGGTGTGTGTGCGGAGACTAAAGATTAATAAAACAAACTATACAATATTAATAATACACTAATATTAATAATACAATTAGTTAATTGAGTAGATATTTAATGTGTGCCTGATTTCTGCATGGAACTATGTCAGGCACCTTGGGAATGATGGGAAGGCACAGAGAGTTTGTTTTCTGGAAGCCTTTCATCTCTTTGAGGTGTGTATTTGGGGTCATATTTGCAAAAGTCTCTGCTTCCTTGGGTCCTGTTTGCTAGTTTGTGTCTCCTCTTGTAGAAAAGTCTTAAACTGTGGGGAGCAACTCGGACTAGACTAAGTTACTGGAATTAAGACTTATTCTATGCATCTGCTTTCCCACAATATGGCGCTGAGAAGGGAAACAGCTTCTACACAGCTGCCTCCAGTTCAACCAATAAACTGTAGGACCTGCTCCTGATTGGAGGAGAGCAGCGTACTCGGCGTGTGGGTAGCAGAATTGGGATTGGTGGAAGAGGACTATAAAGCAAGAGAGAGACAACATGCACCAGGAACATCTAGGAGGAACATCTATCTGAAGGAACACCTGTGCAGCCCCCGAGAGAGCCGGCCGGCGGTGTGCCGCTCCCCCGCGGAAGTGGGGAAAGTGGCAGGGGGAACCGCCCTTCCACGGAGGTGGAAGGGACAGTAGCCAACCCGGGAAGAACCAGCAGCAAACCCGGGGAGGGCCGAGCAGACAAAAGAACAGCGCAGGGTCCTGTGTCGTTCCTCCACGAAGAGGGGGAGCGACATAATGGTGCCGTGACTCGGATAGGAAACCTAGGAGGGAAGAAACAGGAAGAAGTGGAAAATACCGGAGAGAGAGACTAGCAAAGAGCCTAGGGAAAAGCCGGACAGAAAAGGTGCCGGAAGAAGCTATCGAAAGCCTAGGCATAGACTCGGATACGGACTGTGGGAAAGGAGTTAGGATTTAAAGTGAAAGCAAGAAGAAACTTAGACTCAGATACGGAC